CTTCCCTACGGCTCGGGTCCGGTCTGCAACTAGTAACTAGTCATTACTCTTGTAAATCCACAATGCTAGCCAGTAATTCCAGTGAAGGGTGGGCATTTGCTCCCTTCCTGATTATCTACAGTGTCTTCAGCCAGAACACTAATGGGATGGCTGAGTGACAACCTGATGGTGATTCAAAACAAGGGCATAACAACCGAGTACAGTATCTGAGATTTAAAAGGCAGTGCAGTGCCTGGTCTGTAGCAGCAGGTGGCAATGCGAAATGCTTCATGGTTGCAGTTAGGAGAAAAACAGCAACATTCCAGAAAATACTCTTCAAAGCTCCTGCAGTGAAGTTATCACAACCTTCTGTTTTACAGATCTCGTTTGGCTGTTCGCTACAATTGTGCTGACTTTCCTAAATGCCAGCATGCCCCCAAACCACTCACACTGCTTTCCATAAGAAAGACAGGACGCCAAGAAACAGAAAGTGGCCTTGACAAATTATGTGACAGATGAGAGATCAGGCATTAGAGGCAGTGATACTCATGTGCACCTCACGGGCCAGGCTCGCTTGAACAAAATGACCAGAAAGCTCAAGATTCTGTTTTGAGATGGTTCATTCCCTCTCCGATCTTACTAGCAGTTGCAGAGATGGGGATAACTCGCAAAAAATCCACACTCTTACTCGGGTATTTGCTCAGACCACTTCAGTTCCTGGTTCCTCTGTGCCTCAGCAGAGCTGCCTGTTGAGCACACAGGAGAAGTCCTCTCGCATCCTTTCTGTTTTACAGCAGAGCAATTCAACCCCATTTTCTTTAATTATTCCAACACTTCCCTAATAAATGCCTGTATCAGTGTGAACCAGGAGGTAGGCAGCAAACTGGGGTGTTTCAAGGAGTTGTCTGCACAACAAAAAGTAGCCTTTTTTTTCTCTTATCTATAATGTTGGAAAGAGAGCAACAGCAATGACAGCTGTACTGAGGACTGCCCTGATTTTATTTGGTCCTGTGGTAAATCTAAGTTCTAAATTCCTAGCACAGAATTACTTTATCTCCTTGACTCCAGAAAGCATTTGTATCCATACAAACTTATTAAAGCTCTCTTCTTGCATTCTGTTACAGTTCTAATTTAATTGCAAAGAATGAACTGTTACAGTTCATGTACAAGTTCATTGAAGAGAACTGTGTACAGCATTTTGAATGCAGTGCCCCACCGATTAAAGGTAAAACATGTTGCTCAGGCAACAGCTGGAGACACAGGGGAGAAAATATTCATGGCAGATGAGAGGCAATATTCATCAAATGAAATGTCATAAAAACTGCAGGGAAAGAAAAAGCATAATCAGCTCTCAGATTTTAATCAGAAAAAAGGAGTCAAAATTCAGCCAACAAAATATTTCCATATTTTTTCTTTGACAGCCCTCACTATGTAAGACAAAGTCACAGTTAACTAAATCAAGGCACAATCTAACATATATTACAGTTTGCTGATGCCAAATGAAGATTGAGGCCAACATGTTTTGTGTGCTTTTGGAGATCAACCAACTCTTTAAAATAAAACTGATGCAGGAAGGTTGGACAGAAGTGCTATATTTTGCTAAGAACTTACTCTTTAATTTTAATTTCTCTTCCATTCTGCTCCATACAGTCATCTCACAGAACTGAAAAGATTGGTACACACCTTTGGTCTACTTATCAGATGTCCTGATACTTTGACATAGTGCCTTTAAACCCACCCTTTTACCTGTATTAGCACAGATGACACTCTGACACACTGGAAACAGAATTTTTAATGAAGCTATGAGCTAATGTGGAAAATTCCTACCTAGCAGGATGTTTTGTGAGATCCGACAAGTAAGCAAAAGGCAACACCCAAATAACCTGTGCTAGAGTCATAAGATCTACAGAAAAGTTACTTTTGCTGCCCCAGGAATGACTATTTGGGAGGTCTATAGCAAAAAAGCTGGACTACACGATTGCCACAAATGATATGTCACATCAGCAAAGCCTATTCAAGTTACGTACTCAGTTTCAGGTGTCATTTCCAGCAATGCAGGGAAAATGTGAGTCCCATTACAACACAGAGAAGCGGTGCCTTGGGGCAAGCACCTCTGCTAGCTCAACACTGTAAAGACTCATCTCTGCCACTTGACTGCCCAGCAGATCTCTCGTGCAAGAATAATTTCTTGTTTGAGTAGCTCATTCACGGTGTTATGCTTACTGAATATTGACCATGAGGCTCCAGTACTATATATGCCAACTGTTTTTAAAGTGGATATTTTTCACAATCCAACCAAAAAGCAATTAAGTTACTTTTTTAAGAGAACTGTCAAATCTCAAAAAGTAGTAACACAGTGCTTATGCCAGAGCTATACATATTTTTTTATAGATGTCCATTCATGTGTTGGTTCTGCCTGTCTTAGTCAATTTATAAACAAGGCTGCATTATTTTTCATGGTTTATGGCAATTCACTATTTTGTATATATAAAATTTGATGAATAAAATGGGTAGGTATGAATTTGAGACTTCTGAAATCTATAGTCACTTTTCTAGAAATTCACGTACAAGTATAAAGCAAAGGCGGCCTGTGTCCACTCACTGTGCATATCAGTAAGACAGCCTTGTTTCTGCACAGTGATATCTGAATTTACGAACTTCTCTCTGAGGTGGAGAAGGGGCCATCCTGGGGCTGTGTTTGCCATAGTGTCCCTTTTCAATGTCAAGTGGAATTCCTTACGTCTTTTAAAAAAGAGATGAATGTCATGCTTATATTACCTGCCACCATCCCAATCCTGTCCCAGTACAGAGCACACACAAACAGCACAACGCTTATTAGCGTAGCAGTCAATGGGCAGGGCATTCTAGAAGATATTTGGAAGTCTAAAGAATCCAGATGCTTACCTACATCTCTGCATCTTTAGAGATCCTTCAGTTCACAAGGACATTCATGAGATGTTCCCTGCTCTGCTACTTGACATACCTGAGCTGTTGCTTCCAGCCAGCATGGTTGGGCTGACAGAGGATCTCCCCAGCCTGCTGGACACCACAGGCGGGCCGGGCGTTCCATCCCATTCCTGAGCTTTCCCAGGCTCCCTGGAGGAAGCTGTCCCGTGATGGCCTCCCCTCTCTTTGTTTTCCAGCTTTGGTAGTGGTTCAGTGCTGTGACTTCTGATCTTCAGCTCATCTAGTGGTTCTACAAAATATACAAATGCACATTTCATTATAGAGTGCTAATTATATACACATCCTATAACACACATCATCCAACAATCTTTTGCTCAATATTCCATATAAACCAATCATAAATCTTTTAAGGGCAAATTATACCGCCTAGGCCTAAAACCTATAGTTTATGTAGGTTTCAATACACTTTTTAATTATTAAAACCATACACAATGGATAAAATTTAAATTTTCTGTTGCAACTTTTATATGCCAGGAAAATATTTTTGAAAATGGTAGCCTACAAAATTATGCTATTATTAACAATTTATGGAAATATTTGAATTCTTTTCAGCTGTCATTTGATTGGGAACAAGTTCTTCTTCAGGCACTTTCTAAGGAAGATCTCTCCTAAGACAATATTGTGCAAGCAACATATTCCTCATAAGCTCTAATAAAAAGAACACAATCCACAAAACTGTCCAGTGTTAATATTTCAGGTGTGCCCAGCACCATAACCTAAGGAATAAAATTTCAGTTTGTTGCAAATTCCTTCGAGTCAGAAAATAACTTTCTGTTTGTAACACTATGAGTCAATAAAAGGAGGAGAAATTAAAAAAACAATTGAATGATTTTTCAAGGGAAGCAGTGATGTCTGCTTTCTTCATGGCTGGTGGTTTTCTGTTATTTTCTGGAGACCCTCTTTTCTTGCAGGTTGAGCACTTCATTCCTCATCTTTTCCATCTGTAGCTGTGAAAAATTCACACAAAAAACTAGATACAGAAGAAACATTAGATTGCTTTTAGTTGTAACAGCTAATTTTTGTGCTAGTCAGTTATTAAAAGCTTGCTGAATTATTTGCCTCCTTTTAGCACAAAACCAAAAAAAAATCCCTCTGAGTTAGGAATTTTATACTGCATATTTAAGCCCAAAGACATCCTTACATGCTACTCTCAGTTCTAGACATTCACGTTTATAAGTCAAAACTCTAAGTTCTGTACGTATCTACAGTCTTGGAATTCACATTTGATAGAGACAGACAATCTTCCCTTGAGCCCTATCTCAAAATCTTTTTGTGGCTACGAGGGACATTACAAGATCTGGGACAGCCAAGCAAAGGGAAAATGCCAGGAGCCATTTGCAGGAAGCAGATGACCCCAGCTCCCCAGGGGACACAAGCAGAACGGCAGTGGCCTGGCTGTGCAGGACTGCCAGAGGTGCAATGGCAAAACTTTTCTCAGCAGCCACTTCCTCTCCCATTTATCCCCATCGCCAGGAACTGGGACTATCCGACAGGAATTACCACTCAGATAATAGAGTCCCACAAAAAGAACCACATTCAAACCACTTTGATTTGCCTGTGGCTCAAAAACCCCACACATTGTTTACCCTTGCTACAGCCAACACTGGAAGATGCAATACTAGATATCTGTATGGTATGGTAGAGACCACACCTACGCACAACAGTAACAAAATCTCAAGTTGAGTTCTTTGACATTCCAGTCTGCAGATGAACTTGATGAGCAGCAACACAGTCAACCTGAAGTTTCGTCAATGAAATGTCATGTAGGAAACATGTAAAAATATCTGCCTGGATATGCAGTGCCGTATGTAATCATTAGCACATTTCATGAAGGGCTATCTATAATAAAAATTAATGTTAAGGATATCATACCACAGCCTTCAAGTTTTTTTTTTTAAATTACTCACAGGAGTAACACTCCATGAGAAAACGATAAAATAACCCCAGTTTAGCAAGTCTTGTAAATAGGATTCAGTGACATTTTATGTGACAAAGACCTTCAAAAACCAAACCTCTTCCTTGAACTTTTAGGTCACTTACCTACTTCAATGTAAGCAAAAATCCAAACTTTGTTTTTCCTAGTTGGTAACCCCAGCAGGGTACAAGGTCTGTATCAATATAACATGACATCTGCCTTTCAGGGGCCTTTGCTACGAAATGTCTGTAACACTGCTCTATCTGTGACTGCATAGAGAGACTCGCTAATACACAGAGCCATGCAAAAAGATGTACAGCCCAAATTATAACTAGATTTGTACTGTTATCAACAAAAATGCTCTTACATTTTTTCTGAGCATTGATCTATCAAAACTAAGGATGTAGTTTTTCACATTAACAGATACAAGCAATCATATCTGAGTTTTTTCTTTACATCAATCACATTCACTTCCTTAAGACACTGATCTGGGGAAAGGAACGATACCAACAAAGTTTCAGAATTCTTTGGAAATGCACACAATCCCCTTTCCCACCATTACAGAATGCTGCCTACATTCCAGCTCTTTCTTCCCAGCAAAATGAAGAGAAAGCCAAAAGAATAAAATACACTTTAAAAAAGTCAGAATCTGGCCCTGCAAGTGCCCCACCAACTGAATGCATCATTCAGTCGATTTAATTGACTATGTCCCTCAGCTGCTACTGGAAATGCTGTTGATTGCCTTAGCGAAAACCTTCTCTGTGTATGCCTCATTGACACTACTTGAACATCGCGCCTTGATATTTCACATGCTCGTGCAGCCAGCCCTTAGTTGCAGTGGAAACACTTTGGTTGAGTGTGGAGGTAAGGATTTATCCACTTTAGTTTACTTAACAGAGAAGCATTTGTACTTGTTGCCTGATAAAAGTGATTTGTGCATTCTTAGTTTTATTATCAGCTGAATCAAAGCACAGCAGTTCTCTGCAACCAGCTGGAAACTATGGGAATACTCAGACTAAATAAAGATTTGGCTTATAGTCTACTTCTTTATAAGGTGTAGAAAATCAGTTTTCAGCTGGCTGTCTAGACTTCGTAAATTTACATACCACTATGCTTTCTTGGGGATTTTCAGTTCTCAGTTTATCTGAAAAGTAATATATCCTAAAAACAAAAAGCAGATTGAACCAGATTATAATGTCATGCAACCCGTCACAGAGCCTGAATCATTATTATTTGGTGATCACTATCAGTAACATTGATACACAGTCAGAAAAACAACATGTCAGTATTTTACACAGTTTTCTGTAATATTACTTTCCTGCTCACTTGTGAATATGTAAAAAATGAAAAAAAAATTTAATGCCTCACTTTTCCTCGAATATTTTGGGGAGGATTATAGAATAATTTCAGCTTTCTTAATAAATGTCAATGGGAATCATACTCAAATTCAATAAAAAAAATAAATCACTGTGCTAGTTCTTGCTTGACTGAAAGAGTGCCTCAGTCCTAATGTGCCTGTGACAGCTCCAGAGATGCAGAACGCTCCCCTCCCAGGTCACAGCGCATCACTGGGACCTTTTCTCGACTGTCCCAGTCACTTGGATGTTTTTATACTGTCAACTACTCCCTGCTGCAAATGCAGCTCCACGAAGCAATCTCAGTGGCGCAGATTACTGTGTCTCATAAAAACACGCTCATTGCTCTGCATTTTTGCTCCTGCAGTCAGGCACAAGGCCCTGGCACAAAACAGAACGTCGGTGTAGCTGCCAGCTATGGTTACCTATGGGGTGGTGACCTTACCAGCTGAAAATCAGACCAGTATATTTTAAACAGGGTAAGCCTTTAGAAAAACTACAGCAGGATCTAAATGGCCACTTTATCCACATTGATCCCATACTGAAAACATGAACTCTAACCAGCCATATGTATCTACTCTGCTGAAGGGTAACAGTAGCTGCCACATAGCTTTTTTTTTTTTTAGTTTCTCATTTGAGAATTACAGAAACACAGACGGGATATAAGCTACCTCATGCTGTTAGAAACTTTAATTCAGAGGTAGGAGATATTGAAGCTCAGTGTTTTGTTGGGAGCTCACTCAATCATACGATGGCCACAGGCAAATCTTTTCACAGTCAAATGCTGTATTTTGAAAGCTGAAATTATTATGGAAAGCATCTTTATTGTTCAGTAATTCATCAGCCAAAATACTACATAAAAATGTAAATTTCAAGAAATAATTCACTGCTTTAAATATTTATTGATACAGTTGGTTGAACTGCCATAAAGGCGTTCAAATGTTTCAAGCACTTCCAGGTGTCATGGTATTTCAATATTCAAAGATATGCATTTTTCTTATTTATTTCACCTGGCTTTTCCATTTCAAGAATAAGATGGTGGCTAAAATCTCTTAGAGAGAACACATTTTAGAAATAATTGACATGAACAATTTCCCCTCTGTGAAAGGTCCTCTAATGGCTGCGCACTACACAAGGCTGGCACGTGAGCTTTGGTACTGGTAAACTCATAAATGCCAACGAAAACAAGAAACAAATGAGTTAGTCAGCTGTAACTTGGACCACAGCAAACTGAAAAATACAGCTACAGAAACCATCTTACCTGAAAAGCTGTCATGGAATGAATATATACTCTGTGGCTGGTCTGCCACTCTGCTCTTAAGCACAAATTAATCTCAGGGCCCGGTGGCTTTTTAGTGCAATGCCAAGTGATAAACAGCAGAACCTTTATTACAGCTTGCGGTTTTGGGGAGACGAGAGAAAAGCCACTGTCTCAAAACTTAAAATAACGGTTGCTCTCTGCTATCCCTGTCAGCTGTGAGCTGAAACGCATAAGCTAATCATCCATGCATTATTCATTTACTCTTTTTTCTGTGTGTTTGTTATAAACCTAAATAAATAATACATTACTCTGGGCAGAACTCGCATACTGTGGGAAGTAAATGGTACTACTCACAGGGTCTGAAATTCAGCGTATGCATGCAGGTGTAAGTCAGTCACTTGGGATGGGGTTTAGATGTGAATCAGAACTCCCGATCTGCCAAAGCCCCGACACGTCACACCTCACCTTGTGCAAGGCGGGCAGGCACCTGGCCAAGGGCGCAGGAGAGCAGTGTCCCCAAAGGCACCCTGGCCATCAGGAGGGTGGAGATGCAGGATGCACTGCAGCCAGCAGGTGTGTGATGATCAGAGCTACCAGAGACACATCCCAGGCTTCAGCTCCTGCCCTCGTACCTGGGGCAGAGCTACGGAGCCAGCAGCAGCCCTGCTCAGTGAGCCATGTCTCACCCCAGGTTCTGG